TGTCATTTAATGCAAATCTTGTATAGAAACTAAAAAAAAGTGCAATGCAAAACAAAGAAAAAATGTATCAATGTTATATAAAGAAAAAAAAAAGAAATAAATGATTTATCCATGAGCCAAATTTTGTCGAAAAGCAATAATAATATAGAGTGCCGAACAAAGAACAACAAAAAAATCGTCTAATAAACCAAATATACCAAGAACACTTTCCGGTAGTATATCAAGTGGTGATATAACATATGCAATGACGGAAATAAATACTATAATTGTTCGTAACCGATATGTCCATGCAAGACTTTCTGTTGTAAACAATTGACGAATTATATAAGGGATTAAAACTGGAATATCATAAAAATATTCAAGCCACTAAAAATCAAAAGGACTATATAGTTTTAAAATAAAAGAGTATTTAAAAAATTTTACCGTTCGTGGAGCATCCGAAAATCGTCGATTAAAATCTTTAACACCATTAACAACCATTTGACGATCACTACTATCTGGTGCTGCTCGTTCTTCAGCAGTAAAACATGTTAACAGAACTGTTACCTACAAATCATTATAATACATATCTATAATATATTGAACTTTAACTGAAGTCTAGTTGAATTCAAAAAGAGTCTTAAATAATTCAAACTATATGCCTCAGTTATTTATCTTTTTATTCAAAATTCTTTAAAATTTTGTTTCATATTATTTTATTAATGTTTATTGTTTAAAATAACCACATGTGAATTGAAATACGCACATCCATCACCTTTTTCCCGAAGTCTTTATAATAGTTTTGTTGATCACTAAGTTCTCTACAAGATGTACTATACTAACGTAACGTCTCTATTAGTAATCATCTTGAAAACCGACTTACAATGGATAAAAGACAGTTTAATAAAAATGCAGTTTTTCTTTTCAAACAGGATGTTACTCAAACAAAACACGATAGAGATATAAGCGGAACAACGAAAATAATCTTTCTTTTTTCATTTCTCAAGTTTCAACGTTTATAACTTCATCAAAAAAATCGTCGTACTCTAAGGTTTTTTCATAATTAAGAATATCTATAGAATGTTTCAGAAAAAATATCAATTATAGCAATTCAAACAAAAAAAATAAAACATTTAAAAAATCGAAGTTTTTGATTCTTAGACTAATTTTCTAGGTGCATACACGACTATCCTACTAACACTTAAAAACACACATGAAAATAATAAATTAAAGATCTAAATTTCAATTTATCATGTGTCTTATTTACTCTTGTTAAACAAACTTTGATGTTTAAGTTTTTTTTTTCATATCATCTTCTGCTGTATTCGAGCAAATGATGTTCAAATTAGAATAAATCTTAGATTCACTGACTATATGAAAATATTCATTCTTTCAAGCATTTCATGTCTGAACAAACTAGAAAAAAAATTCGGTCATTTGTTTGGAAAATGTAATGACCCATAGGAATTTTTCTCGTTGATTATATCAATAGATGTACAGTATACTTTTTTGTTATCTTTCATGGTCTTTTTTCTTCGATGAATATATAAAAGAACGTTTTTAAT